CTTGGCCTTCTTTGGAAAGAAAGCCTATATCGCAGCCATCCTTCAGTTTCGAAACGCTACTTATCAAGCCTTACAGGTAAAGTGCAACTACATCAACTATTTGAAACTTGACAATTTTATTGATCAGCTCCTACAGTCACAATGTGATAAGTTCATTGCTGTCATATAGGAAAGACAACTGGTAGCCAAAACAGTGCTACATTCTGCCCTTGATGCAACTGACATTGTGGTCTGGTTCATTTCTTCAGTGGTGGTTACGCGACTTGCATCGTGGATACATCTTTCTGTCTGAATACACATCCAGTTCTGAATACACCCATGGCTCAGATATATTGAGTATGAGCTGGTATTTTTACTTACACTTTTTTTCAGAACAGAACTATTTTACATGTGCAGAACTTAAAAATACAGAACTTTATATTTAAAACTTAAATTATTTTTCCTTCTTAAGATAGGCAGGGGCAGATGACCGTTTTGCGGGGCTCCCCCTTTGCCACGGTGCATGCGCAGTGATGCTATGCGCATGCGCAGGGCTTTTTGAAGAGTGGGGCCCGGGGCAGCCGCCCCGTTCACCCTGCCCTATATCTGCCCCTGAAGATAGGATACTAAGACAAGAGAGGATTGAAATTTCTAGCTTTCTCTGATTTTAAGCAACAGTACAGGAACGTAACTGCCATATCAATCAAACCAACAGTCAGAATGGTCCCAAGTCTTTTTCTCTAACAATGGCCAATTCTAGATGCTTCAGTAAAAGGTGCAAGAAACCACTGTGGGAATTACATAATAAAATGTGCATTAAACAGTGTTTCTTCCTTAAACAGTGTTGGCTTATTCCCTGAAGTTTGAGGATTTATATCTTTTTTCCATTTATATCTTTTGCTCATGTCCATTCCAAGATTCGCTCATCTCCTCTCTAACAGAGTATCTGTCAAGAAGGAACTGAATAGGTGACTGGTCCGCAGGGACCTATGTTCACCTACATACGGGCACCACTCCATGGGGACTGCAGTGCTTACCCAACGGCTATCTTTAGAATTTAAGCCTTCTCACATTCATATAGTCTGCGCGCACACACCTCCTTGGAATGGACATGATCAACAGATTTTCAAGAACAATTATATAAGATAAATAACCTTTTTTTTGTTTCTGATATTCTTACTGCCTCTTGATTCCCTGCTCTTTAACCATAAACTTATTCTTGTTTTCACTATATCTGTATATCTCTATAATAATAATAATAATAATAATCTTGCTGTTAAGCAATGTGGTGATCCTGAGTTGACTCTTACAAACTTGTGTGTCCTGTTACTTTGGTAACAGTGTCTGTAAGAGTTCTGTTAGTGTTCAGTGGAATAGGAGCTGAGCATTCTAAATGGATTGGAGAACTCGGGGATTGGTGCATGTCTGTTGCTAACCTGTACAGAGAGAGTGAGGCCTGTGGAGGCCTGGAACATATTGCCTATGTTGCCTGAGGCTGTTGATTTCAGGGAACTGATCCACAGCAGGCACAGGCAAGACTCATTCATGCTAAAGCCCAGTGGTAGTGAGGCTCTTCACAACCCTGGGTACCTCAGGAAGCATCAAGATAGGACTTGTCTACACTCGTGGCAGCATATAGGATGCTTGAAGCTACGGTCTTCAGTAAAAGAACACAGTGTCCACACTGTTGAATGTAGCTACACATGGCAATGAAAGACTGGCAGAAGGGAGGCAGCAGGTAAAGGTTTCAGCAGAGAGTAGCTGTTAGATCCTTTCCTGCTCTTGGAGTCTTTCACTGCAGAGGGGAAAAACTTTGACAGTGGGAGATATTGAGTCACTATAGACATGGGAAGCCCGGCTTGAGCATGTATAGATCTGTATAGACTATATTCCCTAAGGTTCCTGTGTATCTGTAGTTTACTCCCTTAACCTGTGCCTCACTTTCTACACTGCTATCCCTGTGCTAGCTGCGTGTGCATTGTCTGTACTCTTCTGTATGCTCCCATAAGCGTAGACCTACTTATACGGCCTTGCATTTTAACCTCCTTTCCTGCAGTTCTGTAATACAGCTGCATCAGCTAGCTATAACTAGCTAACCAGCAGTATGTCAAGACATTCTTTTTAACGCTTGCAGTATCAAAGGGTGATTATTGGAATGATCCCTGAATTTCTTAGCTTCATTTTCTCTCATTTTCTAAAAAGGGTTTCCAGGGGCAATGAGGGGAAGGTGGTGTACAGCTTATACCAGTTATTTAGCACATGAAGGTTACAGTTAATATTGTGGTTTAAGAGAGATAAATGTTGTGACTCTCCCAAGGTGGACTTCTGTGTGTGACTTGCTTACTTGATTGGAAACCTTAACATTTGTTGCTGTGGAGATCACTGAAACCTTTTATGTTCCATTAGAGTTATTTTTTTTCCTTTGCGCTATTAGTATAAACTAAATTAAATAAATTATATTTTACGGTCAATTGGCAATGCTGGAATAGTTTTCACTTTTGGTGATAACCATTCCATCTGTTATATGCTAGTAGCCAATGAAAACAGATGGTATTAAATTCACACTGTTTAAATATGTTGCATTTTTAAATATATTCTGAGTGCTTTAATCTATGGTTTGTTTTCAGTACTTGTTTCATAATTTAAAAAAGATATCTGCTCAGTCTTTCCATATGTATTTGTAAATGTTGATATATAGTTAATGCTCCCACTTTAGGAACATCTGCCTGATGGCTTTTGGCATCACTTTCTCCATGCACATCAGTGCACGTACATCTAAAGCTTTGTAATTTGACAAAAGGTTTTGGGGAGCTGATTTAGTTGTCCTAGTTAACATTGAACATTTTTAATTTCCCCAGTACAGAAACATTTCCTTCATTTAAATATGAATTGGATTTGGAAAGGTGCAACTAATAGCATAGAACTTGTCGATTAATTTTTGGCATGTATTAGTTTAAATGTTAATTTGTTCTGAGTAAGCTAAGCTAAGAGAAAATGAACATGCATAGTATTATCAATAGAATTTATATTTCCTATTAATTGCAGCCTGTGATAGTATTGTAATATATTTGGAGTATAAAGAAAATATAGAATAAAATGCTGTGTATAATATACTTCTACATACAGTCAATGCTGTTTTATGTATTTTTATGTATATAGAAAAAAAACAAAAGTTTAGGATGGTTATGGAATATGAACCATTATTTGTCACACACAAAAAACTAGTATAAATGCGTGTTTTGTGTGTATTAGAAGAATCAGGTCAAAAATTTTCAAAAATAGAGGCCTGAAGTTAGGCTTCTAAATTCATATTCAGGACTACGAATACTTTTGTTTTTCTCACTATTGAGTTCTAGCAAAATTCATTCACCTCACTGATTCCTCTGAACTTTTGAACATTGGAAAGATACCTAGATGCAGATTTTGAGTTTAACTTTAGCCCCCTCAATACTTTAAAAAATGTGTGTGTGTGGGGGGGGGGGGAATGAAATGCTTATAGAATACAAAATTTGGCCCAAATTTTTAATCAGATTGTCAGAGTGGAAGGTAAGGAAATGATTTTAACAAAACAGTGATTAATATTTATTGATGTCATGTTTAAAGCGGGTACACATTAGGGATGTAAACGACTAGTCAACTATCCGATAAGCATAGTGCTAGTGCTGAGGGGAGCTGTTTCCCCCAGCACTGTCTCCATGAGGGGGTGCCAAGGGTGCAGCAGAGAACTGGCAGTGCTTCCGCCTTTGAAATGTAGCAAGAGCTGAGCTCTTGTACATTTCAAAAGCAGAAGTGCTGCGGGGAGCACGGGGTGAGTGGGAGACCTTAACAGTCCTCTGCTGGCCCCATGCTCCCTGTCCGCTTTGCTTTTGAAATGTACAAGAGCCCCCTGCAGCTCTTACTACATTTCAAAGGTGGAGGCACCCTAATCGACTAATTGACTAGTCTATGCAAATTCCATCAACTATTTGATTAGTTGATTAATCTAAATTTAATATTCCTAGTACACATCTTTATTAAATTGTGTAATGGTTTATTTTTTAAATCCTCAAAATGTCTCCCTTTTTCCTTTTCCTTTTCTAAAATTGTTTACCACAGTGGCTGTTCTTGTCATGGCAATGCATATCTATTGTAGGCTTTTCCACTGTAGCTCTGTGCTAGCGCAACACTTTACTATTTTTATAATTGTAGAAGAAATAATTATTACTGATTTATTTTTTAACCTTTTATACATAAGCAATCCTTCCCCTGTTCCTTCAGGAACAAAATGCTTAAAATTTCTTAGCAAGTCAAGATCTGGACATTTTAAAATTTTCCATTGTTACAAGATGATAGCTACGTTATCAAAATTCTGATAACTTCTAATACACACTGCAGTTTAATTAGTTAAATCTCAAAAGCTTACATTTTTGTGTGTTTGGCTCTCTTCTCCTGAAGTATGGGTGAGTTAGATAAGTGAATGTGTTGAACTAGGCTCTGCCTATAAAAGATATTGGATACAATCATAATGTATGAATGTCTCTGTTCAAGTGAAGCAAAAACAGAACTGAAATATTCTTCTAAAGGGATCAAATACTCAAGGTTAGGTTTCAAATAACAGTACAGTCTCTTTACTAGAGCTAGAAGATCTAGCATAGTATTTGCTTATGTGTTTGAGGAATTGGACTCTTAGAAGTAGTTTGTCCCCACATATCTGTAAATTATGTATTTGTTAGGTTGCAGTAGTCTATAAATGGTTTGTGTATTTTTCTAGAATATGTCTGAGAAGAAAACCGTTGAAATTTCTTTTTCTGGAACAAGAATCCACACTTGCAAATCCAATACGTTGCATAAAACTCTTTTGCTGTTGCTGTATTTCCAAAAGACTAAGGAAAGTGCTCTAACATCTACAATTGTAGTTACGTTTGCACTCTTTCAATAGTTCATGTTCTAACAAATTCCTGCAGGTGTTTCCCTTGTGAACATTTAATTGTAAAAATGTTTTGTGTTGAATTACATTAATTTTTAAATATATTTTCTTGTAGAGAACTAGAGGACGAAAACGAAGCTTTGTGCCTGAAGAAGAAAAGCCTGAGGTTGGGATAATCGAGTATTTTTTTAACTTAGATTAAAAAATATTAAACTTCAGGTGTGTAATATTGCCTTCAGTACTATAATTGAAAATATTTGCTCTCCCCCCCCCCCTTTTTTTTTCCTGTGATAGGAACGTATTCCTAGAGAAAGACGGCAAAGACAGTCTGTTCTACAAAAGAAGCCCAAGTCAGAGGATTTAAGAACAGAATGTGCTACATGCAAGGGGACTGGAGACAATGAAAATCTAGTCAGGTAGGCTTAATGCTGTGACCTTTTCTACAGGGGATTAACGTTCCATCTTCATCACTTTCTCATCATGACCATAATGAAGAAAATCACACTATAAAACACTTCAAAAAAATCTGATGTAGGGGAAATGTTACTTTGGAAACATTGATTTGACCCACTTTTGACCTGCCACACACATTTACACTCACGATTTAGATGTAAATAAGCAACGTGATCTGATTTTTCTAACACAAGAGAATTAGTTTTCTTTTGTCAGGGTGAATTGCCTGTGCTCTATAACAAGCCACAAAATTAAGCAGACTCACGATTTGGTTATTCCAATACTAGAGTTATGGCATTTATCTTACGTAAAAACTTTTGATCAATTAGCTATGGTAACATTCTGAGGTGAAGCATGTTTTGGTAAGGTGTATATATACGTGTTCAAAAATTGTATTGATAGTCTCCTGTTGTTCTATGACATAATGAATGCTTAGCATATGGAAGAAAGGTGAAAAGCTGTGTTCCGTGCAAATTTTAGAAAGCAGAACATTATAATCAGGGGTCTAAGCCAAGAGGGAAGTAATCAGCCATTCTTTGAGTGTTTGCTCATATCTCTTCCAAAGTAGGTGTATACATGCCACATACACTGCCCTAGAAAAAGTTTTTTCCTTCAGTGGCATCTGTTGGGATTGGCTCTGGTGCCCTCTGGAGTTGCTCTGGCTTATAGTAGAGATGGAAAAATTTGCTTAGAAGTCGCTGGAATACATGCTTTGTTTGGATGGGTCACTTGTCCTTTTGGGCTCATTTCATAGCAAAGATGCTTCAGAAGTGATAAGCTGGAGTGAAGACAGGAATGAAGACAAAGATGGAGGAACCCCCAGGGGCCTCTTTATTCCTTTGTACATTCAATGGGAATTTCATAGTTCTCTTTGTGTGAAAGTACCTCCCAAAATGGAGCATGTCACATGAACTCACCTATCCATGCATGATTCAGTCCTTTTTTCGGCAGCAGCCATTGCCAATATGCTGGCCTTAACATTCAGATTCCTTTCAATGTGCGTTGGCCCTACTTGAGGTGCATTGTCAGTGAAGTGCTGCTATTCACTTGACTAGCAATAGCCAATTCTCATAAAATCAGATATAGCAATAATACATGCATATGAATAGCATAAATAAAATCAGCAAATCATAAATTTTCTATAGATATCTCACTTGGCTCACGTTGCAGAAGATTTGGTGCACATATGACAGTAGTTGCAACAGTATTTTTTATGTTCACATCAGAGTCCATTGATGTCATAGGTTGCTCTAGGGGGCTGCTAACCCACCACATCCTTAAGTCCATTTTTTCCTGTATCAAGCTTATATAGCTTTCTATATTCATAGTTTGTTGTTATAGCTTTAGTGTTAGTTGTAATAGAATTGGAACCTACTTATTGGCATTTCCCATTTCCTCGCACCATGGCATGCCTTGGTCTCTAAGGTTTGAGGTTATAGCTCTCAGTGGAAATGCCAGTCACCCTATGTCTGTTTCTGGATTTCATCTCTGGGATCATGGATGCCTACATCATCTGAAACTTGAGTCCCTTAGTCTCATGACCTGGCAGCTACATTGGGGAACCCCAAGCAAGAGTTAACATGCTCAGGTGCAGTTCAAGAAGCTCTTATAGGGTATAGAAAGACAACCATTAGGACCACAACCTGGGAAAATGGAAGAGTTTCACAATTTGGTCAGTGCGGAAAGGAGTATTACCCACCCTAGCATCAGTGCAGGGTATTCTGGACTTTTTGCCACAGCTTAAGTAACAACAGCTATCAGTGTATTCAATTAGAGTATGTCTTGAGACTATTTCAGTCCCTTTCTTCCTCCTCCCCCCTGGTGTAAGAAAACAGCAGGTCCATGGTTTCTTGTGTTGTAACTGCTTCTTTCAGGGTCTGGACAGCTATACCCACAAGGCCCTCAGAGCCTAACTTGGTACTATCAAGGCTCATAGGTCCCCACTTCAAACCCTAGGCAGTGTGCTCTGTACTCAATTTTTCCTGGAGGATGGCCTTTCTGGTGGCCTTCTCCTTGACCAGAAGGGTTGTGGAAATTAGAACTCTTACTTCAGTGGCCCATATATTGTTTTCTTTAAGGACAAGATCAAGCTGTTCACTCCCACAGCACAATAACCAGGACATCTTTCTTCCAGTTTTCCACCCAGAGCTGCATGCATATAGCCAGAAACAGAGCTACAGTCACTAGACACCAAGCAAGTGCTAACATTCTACATAGAAAGGACAAAATTGTTTAGGAAAACTACTGAGGTTTTCATGGCTATGGCAGACATCATGAAAGGTCTCCCAGTCTCGGCCAAGAGGATATAATCATGCATCACTTCTTGTATCTGCACATGCTGTGATCAGGTGAAAGTCCATGCTCAGGCCCTGATGGCAAGTTCCACAAGGATGCAAGCTTCTTCAGCCATATTTGTGGCACAGGTTCCCATCCGGAGCAATTGTAGAGAGGCAATATGGTCATAGGCCCCCATCTTCGCATCTCACTATTTCATCACTAAACAGGCAAGAGATAATGCTGGATTTGGCATCATCACTCTGTTGGATTTGGCATTACTACACTCTGCTTGTCATTGAACTCTGAACTCACCTCCTTCATCTGCTTGGATGTCATCTCTATGGGAATGGACGTGAGCAAGCACTCGAAGAACAAATGTTTACTAGCCTTCTGTAACTGTTATTGCTTGAGATCTGTTGCTCATGTCAAAACCCACTCTCCTACCTCTTTTGGACTTGGCCAGCAAGAAGGATCTGAAGAGATGGCAGGGCAGCAGGCCCCTATATGCTAGTGCTATAGGGTGTGACTTCAGGATGCACAATAGCTGACCGTGTGAATAGCACTGCAGGAAAAATTTCCTGGTGGTGGTGCATGTGGTGAGCACACACCTACACTGGACGGGATATGAGCAACACATCTTGAACAACTATTTCAGAAGATTAGTATTAGTATTTTCACTGATTACCCACAGGGATGTGGGTTTGACATCGGAGTCAGCACTTTGTGTACTTGACCAAGCTAAAGAGACTTTACAGTTATTGTCTTCAGAGAGAATTAAAGGAACTCGGCAACCAAAAAGCACTTTAGTTAAATCAAAAGAAATCCCATTATAAGATCTCTTGGTTAACAGCAATAAAAATAAGAGAGGCTTGCTCTTTTTCTTATATATCTCCTCTTCAACCAGATGTTTCTATGGCAGTATCATCAGCTCAGGCACAACTGTTTAATTTTGGGGGGAATAAGGGAATTAAATTATATAATGAGTAACTTAAAAGATAAGGAACTAAAGCTATTGTAGAACTCTGGAATCAATAATACATGCACGGTAAATATTTTTAGTGCATTATATGATCTTGGAAACAGGATTTATTTAAGATATATTTACATCATATCATTTACTTTGAATTTTGGTACCTGAAATAGAGTAAATCATTGAACATATTGGTGCATTAGTGTTTATGAATGCCATTTTAGCTATTGATTTAATATTTCTGCAAGTTAGAGAAGCTGTGTAGAAATGTGATATAACAGATAAGATGATGGCAATGATCCAAAAATACCCAACAATATTCAAGAAGAATAAATGGATCTAGGAAAGTTGTTTTACAGGTAGTTTGGGAGTGTTACTTAGCATACCATGCTTTTATTTAATGGGGGAGAGGGGAAGGTTCACATTTTCTTCAGGATTTGAAGTAAAAGCATGGAGAAGAGCCAAATGATTTTCATTAAATGAAATTTAAATCCTGGGTTCCAAGGACACAAACTAAAAGATAGGGAAATGGGCAAAGTGTAAATACATTTGGGAGTACTACCAAACAGGCTTTCTGCTGTATAGTGAATCTACTGGGAAAGGAGCTGCAGAAACCTTCCTCACATGAAAGGAGCTTAGTACATTCAGATCACAAGAAATTGTGAGTTCTCTGACTCTCTGCCTTTCAGCGGGGGCTCCTCTCTTTTTCTCCCCTCCCCACAGCAGTGAGCCATAGGCTTTATTGATTGGATTAATTCCAGCTGCTCAGGCAGAGTGTACTTAACAGGATGTACCTGATCAGTGTGTTTTGCTGTAAGGTCGTCCTAGTCCTTAGGGATTTAAAATCTTGTTTACTTGGTTAACCGTTTAAACAAGATGTTTAACTCGTGGGCTGGAGCAGCCCCACAGTCCACCATGGGTGGGCTGAAGCAGCCCCCACCCCACCCCACCCCACCCCACCCTGGTCCAGACGGCCGAAGCAGTCCCTGTCTGCAACGTGCCTAGGCCCATAGCTGGCATCCCTACTAGTCTTAGCTAAGACCATCACAACATTATTGAAACTAACTCCTGATTTCTCCCTTTTAGGAGTTCTATGTTTATTGAGTGTTAATTCTGCTGCTCTTCACAGTTGTCCAGAAGCTGGTTTACAACATTTGGGTAGCCCCAGATTCTCTTTACGCTCTCCCATTGAGTTCTTCTAGTTATTTAAAGGTTATAGGTTTAATCTGCATTCTTGGATTCAAGCAGTTCCCTTTGGTGACATGTTGCCTAGTCTTAGTGCATGTGGTTGTACTGGAAATTTTTATCCTTTGTATAAAATATATCCCTTCTTGCTCTCCAGATGGGAAATTAAGATCATTGTACCTGCTTTCATGGCCAACATTCCCTCTACCAAACTGAATTTAAGCAAGTTCTGAATTTACAGGGTAGTACATGATGTATTGTTGAACACTAAATAATTGTTAATTCATCAACTCAGTCTTTCTGGTACCAAAATTGAACACTTATATTATAAACGACAAAACAGATTACTATATTTCTGTATACATAGAAAGTAATTTTAATATCAGATAATAAAGAATAAACCCTTAGACTTTATAAGCTGCAGCCCAGAAATTACATCAGAGTGTTGAGAATTAGGTTCATTTTTATTTTTTTCTGATTGTGCAACATTGGACATTACTGAAGAGTCATCTGCCTATCTTTTTTTAAGTG